TGGCTGTGGCAAATTGTCATAGACTCCTCTCCAGTCATGTATTTGATAATATCCCCCACCAGGTGGATGACTCTTGTGGGGAGGAAACAAAGAACTTTCTGGCTTGCAAAGACTCCTGGCAAAGTAACCCGGTTGTTAAGTGAATCTGGCTTCTCCACTGACTTTGCTTGTCAAAAGGTGATCACGTGTTCCATTTCTCCCTTTCCTTCCCTCTAGGGCATAAAATACATCGATCATTTTGGCTTTATATGTCGGGAATCCACTGAACCTGGAATAAGCCAGTATGCGTGCTATGTCTTCCAGTGTGCAAGCGAGTCTCTGGTAAGCCTCTTTAAAATACCATTTTCATTATCTATTTGACGCAGGACTGACAAAAATAATGAGATAAGGCTGTTTGCCTGTTTCTGGAGCCATATGACCAGGCGTGGGATTCTACTGGTTCAGACCGTTCTATAGAACTGATTGTTATGATTCTGTGCAGTTCAGGGAACTGGCAAATCGTGCCCCTGGCTGACTCCGCCCCTCTCTGCCTGCGCACATACATGACATTGCTGACTACATTCTCCCCCGCCCAGTCACCCAGGATGCAAAAAGGGGTGTGGCAGGTGGGGGGGTCACGGGGTGTGTGTGTGTGCTGGTAACCCCCCAAGCTCCGTTTTTTGCCTTCTTGGGCCCCAGGGAAGCCTTCTGGGAGCAAATGCCCCCCATCAGGAGGCTTCCCCGAGGCCAGGAGGCAAAAAACCAAAGGGGGAGGGGGCAGGTGGCTGCAAAAAAAGAAAAGAAAAAGCCATGCCCACCCAGTCACATGGCCACACCCACCTTGCCACGCCCACAGAACCGGTTGTTAAAAAATTTGAATCCCACTGCTGCATATGGCCCTTGGGGTAGCCTTGATTGCTTCTTCAGCTTGGAACTGTTTTTATAGCAGAGAAAGAAAGAAATAGAACCAATTATCTCTAAAGATTTGTACATACCACACCAGCCTCCCACAATGGTTGCCCAGTTTCTACCTTCCAGAGTTTTAACGAGATCCACATGATGGTTGATTAGACCCACTAAAATGTTTCTCCTAATTCAACTGTACCCTCCAGTTTGATCCAGTCTCTTTCTAGGCTATCTTGGGTGTCTTCCTTCCATCAAAAGCCCCAGGAGTTCCCAACCTTTTCTCAATGAATTTATTTTGGGCTATCTTTGTGCCATCTGCTGAACCCACGCCACGGGTATTTCCTTTAAAATACTCCAATTCAAATTTCAGTGCAGAACTGGAGCAGAAGAATTATTTCTGAGCTGCGGTGGTGCAGTGGTCAGAGTACAGTACTGCAGGCTACTTCAGCTGACTGCTGGCTGCCTGCAGTTTGGCAGATCGAATCCCACCAGGTTCAAGATTGACTCAGCCTTCCATCCTGTTGAGGGCCCAGACTCTGCAAACCGCTTAGAGACGCCTGTAAAGCACTGTAAAGCAAAGCAATATAGAAGTCTAAGTGCTCTTGCTATTTCTGGGACTTGAAGCTACACTTCTCGTAAAGGTAATAGTTCCCCTCGCACATACGTGCTACTTGTTTCCAGCCTCTAGGGGGCTGTGCTCATCTGTTACAAAGCCGAAGAGCCAGCGCTGTCCGAAGACGTTTCCGAGGTCATGTGGATGGCATGACTAAACGCTGAAGACGCCGGAACGCTGTTACCTTCCCACCAAAGGGGTCCCTATTTTTCTACTTGCATTTTTTACATGCTCGGTTGGCAGAAGCTGGAACGAGTAACGGGAGCTAGGGATTCGAACCGCCAAACTGCTGACCTTTCTGATCGACAAGCTACTGCCACCCAAAATCCTACTAGTCTTGGATTTGACAGGTGACCAGCCTTTACCTTGAGATCCTTCTCATCTCTAGACTCTTTCCAAGTCCCGTGGCAGTGATTTCCAAACCAGAGCTAGTAGATGTGAAGATGTCTCTGTTGAGGCATTTTGTAACCTCTCTAGCTGTGGTGTCACCACCACAGGAAGTACGGATGTCTCAACTGAAAGAAGAAGCCGTTGCTAGAAAGGGTGATTCTCTCCCTGGACCTCCCAGGCAAGCTGAAGGATGAGAATGAGACACTGAACACCCTTCTTCATATTTGCAATCAGGACACCAGCTGGGGATGACTTCCCATTTCAATTGGATTGTATTTTATGCTCTTCTTCTTCTTTGTCTTCTTCTTCATCTTCTTTCTCTTCTTCGTCTTCGTCTTTTATTGGCCAAGTGTGATTGGACACACAAGGAAATTGTCTTGGTGCAAATGCTCTCTGTATACATAAAAGAAAAGATATATTTGTCAAGAGTCAACAATCATAAAGTACAACACTTAATAATAGTCAGAGGGTACAAAAAGCAATCAAATCATACTAGGAAACAGTCAATATAGACCATAAGGATACAAGCAACAAAGTTACAGTCATACAGTCACAAGTGGGAGAGGATGGGTGATAAAGAGTGATGAGAAAGTTAATGGTAGTGCAGACTTTGTAAATAGTTGAACAGTGTTGAGGGAATTATTTGTTTAGCAGAGTGATGGCTTTTGGGGAAAAACTGTTCTTGTCTCTAGTTGTTCTGGTGTGCAGTGCTCTATAGCATCGTTTTGAGGGTAGGAGTTGAAACAGTTTATTTCCAGGATGTGAGGGGTCTGTAAATATTTTCACAGCTCTCTTTTTGACTCGTGCAGTATACAGGTCCTCAATGGAAGGCAGGTTGGTAGCCATTGTTTTTCCTCCCTAATTACCCTCTGAAGTCTGTGTCTGTCTTGTTGGGTTGCAGAGCCAAACTAGACAGTTATAGAGGTGCAGATGGCAGACTCAATAATTCCTGTGTAGATCTGGATCAGCAGCTCCTTGGGCAGTTTGAGCTTGGGGTTGATGACTTTGCTTCCTATGAGAACTCTGGAGTTATCTCTGGGGTTATGGATCCAGGAGAGCCTTCAGCACTGAGACACTCCCCGTGGGAAGTTTTAATACGCAGTCCTTGACTTACAATACTTCATTTAGCAACCAAAGTTGACAACGCCCACTGAAAAAAGTGACTTATGACCGCCTTTCACAGTTGCAACCTTTGTAGCATCCCCACAATCATGTGATCAAAATTCAGATGCTCGGCAATCGGTTCATACTTACGACCATTGCAGCCAGGGGCGGGCTTCAAAAATCTTAGCAACAGGTTCTCTGCCCAGTTGCTGGGTAGGCGGGCCATGGTGGGTGTGGCCTAGTTGGCCTCCTGCACAAATGTGTGTGTGGGGGGTCACGTTTCTGGCTTTCAGGAACGTCTGCGAGGCCTGTTTTTCACCCTCTCCGGGCTCTGGAGGCTTTTGTCGAACCTCTGGGAGGGCAAAAATTGCCTCCCTGGGCTCCGGAGGCCCTCTGGAAGACAGAAACGGGCCCCTTGATGGCCTTCCCAAACTTCCGGGAGGCCTGTTTTTCGCCAAGCCTCCATGTGGACCCTGTACTTACCCGGGATCCAACATGGGCCGTGTGGGGGCTCTTAGGAGGGCCGAGGGACAGCAGGCCGGGCCAACCAGTTGTTGCAACTCCTGGTTTGCCAAACTGGCCATAAAATTAGCTACCTGTTCGATGATACTGGTTCACCTGAATTGAGGCAAACCAGTAGCAGCCCACCCCTTGTTGCAGCATCCCGGGGTCATGGGATCAACTTTTGCGACCTTCCCGATAAGCCAAATCAATTGATAAGCCAGATTCATTTAACCATCAGATTACTAACTTATGAACTGCGGTGAGTCACTTAACATCTGCAGCAAGAAATGTCGTAAAATGGGGGCAAAACTCATGAATGTTGATGTGTTAATACCACTTTATAATGCCTTGGTAAGGCCACACTTGGAATACTGCATCCAGTTTTGGTCACTACGATGTAAAAAAAGATGTTGAAACTCTAGAAAGAGTGCAGAAAAGAGCAACCAAGATGATTAGGGGACTGAAGGCTAAAACATATGAAGAACGGTTGCAGAAACTGGGTGTCCTGCCCCTGGTGGAGACTGACCCTGAGGGAGAGGAGGAACAGCCGACAGGGAGTGGAAGTGTGACTCCGGAGGTTGTGGAGGAGGCTGGGGAAGGGCAGAGGCCAGCTGAGCAGTCAGAGGAGGACCCAGGCCCATTGCAGGGAGGAGAGGATAAGGGAGAAATGTGGTCTCCTCGGGAGGAGAGGGCCTTGAGCCTCTTCACAGACTGCAGCTGTGACAACTGAATAAGAGTTTGGACCTGCGTACTGGCAAATGCTGGAAATAAATCATGTAAATATCTCTAGTTTATAGTTCCTCTCTGAGTTTGGCGTCCTTCCCAGTGTGTGTTATCCTTGGACATCCTCCAGCCCTTACCTTGCCTGGTTTGTGTTGCTTTTTTCCTTCTTCGTGTAACTGTGGGGGAGGTTTTTTTTGTCTTCCTTCAAAGATATTCAGAGCAAACTGAAGGAATAAAAGGGGCTTCACCTGTTTTCTGTGACTGTGTTTGTTTGTATCCCACCCTGGGCCATCACACTGGGTATGTCTAGTTTGATGAAAAGAAAGACCAGGGGTGACATGATAGCAGTGTTCCAATATCTCAGGGGCTGCCCCAAAGAAGAGAAGGAGTCAAGCTATTCTCCAAAGCATCTAAGGGCAGGACAAGAAGCAATGGGTGGAAACTAATCAAGGAGAGAAGCAACTTAGAACTAAGGAGGAATTTCCTGACAGTTAAAACAATTAATCCGTGGAACCACTTGACTCCAGAAGTTGTAAATGCTCCAACACTGGAAGTTTTTAAGAAGAGATTGGACAACATTTTGTCTGAAGTGCTATAGGGTTTCCTGCCTAAGCGGGGGTTTGGACTAGAAGATCTCCAAGGTCCCTTCCAACTGTGTTATTCTGTTAAATGTTTCACTTAAGAACAGAAATTGTGGGCTCAATTGTAGCCCTACGTCTAGGGTTACTTGTATTTCAGTTTCAGCTAGCCAGAAGTCATCTTTGAACAATTATTCAGAATTGCCATTGTATCTTACGATTAATGATTGAAACTATGATCTATGAT